AAAACCTTGTCGAAACCTTGTACTTTTGCTGTTATGTTAAACTTATATTAAAGTTTTTCTTCATTACCCATTCAAGCTGTCTTCAGCCATTATTATTTTGTATATTTGAACAGACAATCTCTATGAAGTCCCTAAATTTCCAGTTTATACAGCCTTGTCATGTAGCAGAAAGTATTGTATTGTTTGGGTGTTAAAAAACCATTAAGCACCTTACTTTATCGACTGTATCAGTATGTACAACTGTGATGCACTTTTAAGCCTGGATGTTATCTGCTATATTTCTTCCCTGAAAAAATCAAATGTAGTTTATCAATTTACTTGTCCTTCTTGCAAGAGAGGTTATATTGGTTCTATGATTTAGAAAGCTGTTGGTGTGAGTGAAAGAACATGCATATTTAAGAACACCACATAGATCAAGTGTATTGGAGCATGCCTTACATGAGTGTGATGTAGCTTTCCATTAACAAGGGACAAGTATGAACAAAGCCTCTTTTTAAAGACAGCTTACTCATTCATAAACTGAGGCCAAAACTCAATCAGGTTAGTCCAGCTTGTAAATTGTTGCTTAATCTTATAAGTCTATTGCAAAAACAAATTTAAAAATCTTCCACACAATGTAAATACTTACAGTGGTTAAATGAACATAACTACCAATAGGGTAATTAGTAATAAAATGTGTGAAAGTCCTATCAACTTTGTACATAGTTATTCAAAATGTGAAAGTATATCATATTAAGTGTCTCCTCCAGAAAAACTTCTGTACGATTCTTACAAGGTGTCCAGATATGCTATCCCTGTATCAAATGCACAATTACCTATATCATATAACAAAATTAATTAAGTTCCATTTTATCAAAACAGTTAGCAACTGAATAAGCTGATGGCAGGATAGTTTGAAAAAAACAAAAAAACATTCTCTCCTCAACAAAACATCTCACCACTGCATATTCTAAACTACATTGTTGCAATTCCTCTTGTGCTTGTTGACAGTGCTCTTCTTCCTCTCGTAGATCTCTTTCTAACTTTACTATTCTCACCCTGTAATCATGGGCAACTTGCTGGAGTTCTTTAATTTTCCTCAGACCTTGCTGTGCTTTCTCTATTTTTGCCTGCCATAAAAAAGATATTGTCATTCTTAAATTTGAATTAGATTTCTTATGTGGGCACAGTAATAATAAAGTTTGTATATTTTATATGTATGCTATCAGTAATTAAACTGTATGAAGGTTCATAACATCGTAGCATCCATCTACTAATAATAAAAACACCAAAAGTTAAGTTAAGGATATTTAATGATCAAATCTATAATAACAAAAGGGAGTGTCTGTGGTTCTGTGTGACCACCATAACTCCAAAATGAAAGAACCTAGAAACCTGAAATTTTGCACCCATATTAAGTTGGTCCTGAGGGTGTGCACCTGGGTATTATTTCCTATTCACGTGTGTGCATGCATGCGCATCTTTTTTATGAGGCAAGCTAGCAAAAAATCTCATAGAAAAGAAGTGGTTTGTTATATTACCAACAGAAATCACAGACAGACAGACACGCACCTGCCTGCATGCGTGCACATATGTGCATTTTTTTAATGGGGCAAGTTGGCAAAAAACCATATAAAAAAAAGTGATTCCTTATATAACAATTTCAAATATATAAATAAAAAGCCAGTGCATTTTGGTAACAATGGTTTTTAAGCCATCTTGCTTAGCAACAAAAGTATATATGTTATACTTTTATGCTAAAATAGGTTTAGAATCCACACACTCACATAGTCATCTAGAATATATCAACCTAATAACCCGAGCAAAGCCCAGTACTTTCCCTAGTAGAAAATAAAAATATTAATTAGTCACTGTGGCAGTTGCAAGGGGAGTTTAGATAGTTGATAAACAAATTTGTTATTGTGGCATATATATAAATAATTGCTGTGGATATGCATGGATAGTTTGAGTAATTATAAAGATAGCTTAAAAAGTTGAAATTATCACTGTGGCATTAGCATGAGTATTTTGAGAAGTTATAAAGGTAAATTCATTACTGTGACAGCTATATGAATAATTTGAATAGTGTTGTATAATCAGGTTGAACTGATTTAACATTAAAGTGATGGGATAATTCGGCTTAACAGGAGATTTGACAAGATATTTATCACAAAGTAGTTCTAAATCTCTAGACACAAAGTAATGTGCAAGATACTGACTCAAATGCAACCAGAAGAACCACCATCGACCATTAACACAAATGCATACAGTCTTTGTGTTAAGCAAAGTCTAGAGAATCTTGTGTCTCAAAGGTCTGGGAACCATTAGGCTGTTAAATAGGCTCAGAACCACTGCTTGGTGGTTAATAAAAAGAGTATAGCATATCTTTCTGCACTTGTAACTGCTTGTATACGTGTTATGCATGTCTGTAATATGTCTCTTAATCTGAGATGGTCACAATTTACTTTGCTGCATAGCAAGGAGCACCCACATTAGATTTGGGCCCTTCTGTTGCTATTTCTGAAGCTCTCAAAATGTTAATCATAGCATCCATCCAATAGTGAAATCTCTTAATACATAGTTTGTCATTTCTATGGGAGAAAGGGTCTCAACTCCCACACAGTGTCCAGGATCAGAACATTCAACAAAAGGACAGGGTCTTGCTGTATGGTTTGACAATCCATTTGTATTTCCATATCATAGGTGCAAACAATAATGTATGTGTAAACCATATTCCTACAGCACTGTTATCCAGCACACTACCATCTTTTCAGTTTTTAAAAGTTCATCAATGGTTTCATAGCCCATTAAAACAGTGAACTTTTTACCATACAAGTAGTACTAAAAGTGTTTTAGGGAGACCAAAACTGCAAGCAGTTCTTTCTTCATCATACAGTATCTGTACTTGAGAGCCACAAGCATACAAGTAGCACATGCAATTACATGTTCTACTCTGTATTGCAACTGCAGTAACACTGCTCTTTTTCTACTATGACTATCATGGACATGTCAACAATGAGGCTTCTACTGAAATGCTTGCTCACATTCCTCACTCCATCTGAAGTGCATCTCTTCTTTAGCGAGAGTTAATACTAATGAGACAATCTATGAGAAGTTAGCCACAAACTGCTGGTAATATGAAATGAAACTGAAGAAACTGTGGACTTCTCATTTGGTCACAAGTTGAGCCATCTTGCATTGCTGCTATTTTTTAGTTAAGGTCCATGGAGATTCCCTCTCTACCTACAATATGCCAGAGAAATTCTACTTTCAAGAACATGAACACATATTTTCCTGTTTTCAGCTTTAAGCCTGTATTATTTTGGCTCTGAAATACCATTTTCAGGTTCTCAGTCACAAACTTGAATGTGTAACTAAGCACTAATATGTTATCGGTACAGATCAGGCACTTCTTGAATTGAAGCCCTCCCAGTGTAAGTTTCACCAGCCTCTAGAAACTGGTAGGCATAATTACAGAGGCAAAATAGCATAATGCAAAACTCTTATCAGCTATCACTCATGCTGAATGCAGTTGTAGGTCTGCTTTCACCATAAAGCTTAACTTGCTAGTATCTAAATACCAGGTCTACTGTATTGAACCGCTGGGTCTTTTCCAATGAATCTAAGCATTATCTGTGAACCACTGTGCCCCTTCCAATGAATTTAAACATTCATCTATCCGTGAACTTTTAAAGGCGTCATTGTGAGTTACCCTATTTACCCATCTAAAAGAAATACAGAACCTGGATATAGTTTCCTTCTTCCTGGCAATCACTACTGGAGACAACCAAGCACTCTCTGTACGTTATATTATCCCTTCCTTTAATATCCACTGTACTTCAGCACTGACTACTTCCCTAGTGCTACATGGAAACCTGTGGAGCATTTATTTAACTGAACATACATCATCTGTATTTATGTGTTATTGTGTGATTGTTGTTTGACTCAGTCAGCCATCTGGTCCCTCAAACATAATGGCATATTCTGCTAACAAGTCACTGAATTGCTGCCAGTGCATTGAATCTAGATTGTCTGCATGATCTTCAACCAGCAATCACAAATGTGTTAGAAATGGTGTATACACTTCTGAACGCAGTGCAATGGAGGCAGCCCTAGCTGATATTGGTTACTTCCAGTTGATGACCATTCCTTTCCAGCATGTACCCGGATAAACAATTGTCCATAATTCTCCTTGCTGCTTGCTTTCTGGACAGGAAACAATTTATTTCATGCATGGGTTCTATATACTTCATGAAGTAACACTGACACACTAGACTTCTTCCACAGTAACCCACAGAAAACCATTTGCATACATTAGAGTATTGTGACTTGCTCTCTCACATACAATCCACTGTTCCTGGGGTTGATCTGGCCAATATTGGATAACTCTCTCCAACATAAAATAAGTTCACCAGTTGCAAAGACAAAACTGACTGAAAAGCTCTATAGTACATCCATTCCAAGGATGCTAATAGCAGAACTGAGGCCAGTGATGATTACCTTCATTCTGTAAGCAATGTTCCAAGACATAGGTCAGTTTAACAGGAGTTTCAGCAAGATACTTATCTTTATTAAATCACAAAGTGTGTGCACTTGCTGTTATTAAATACAAGATGTTATATCTTCAACTGATCAAGCCAAAATTATCTACCAGACTGTTTAAACTAAACAATCTTACTCCACAAGTAATGCTGGATTTATCCAGAGTGACTAACAGTACCCTTGCAACTGGTCATTCTCGTTCAAGCATAGGAAAGACTGTAAAATCCAGATCCGATATGAACTAGTACTGAAGGACACTATTGTAGACCTTCTTTCACAATGTGCAGCATTACAGCCATGCCACCCATAGGCAGAACAGATGTGATTTCAATAGAATAATGAGGAATAAAGGTAGATAGAATGACATCAATTTAATGACTTTCTAGACCATTATGTGAAAAATGCGCACATACAGAATAAATGACATATTCAGGTTAAATCTAAAATTCTTTTATTACCAACACTCAAAAATTGTCTTTCTACGAGTATTTTAATGTCATCAAACTTCTAGGAAACTTTAAATTTTTATTTAAAAATAATTTATAATGAAACTAAAATTTGGTTATAATCCAAATAACATAAGAGCACATATTAATAATCAATTACTTTAGCATCTGCATACAGCTTTCTAATAAACTAAATTATACATATTTTAATCAGTGGTCATATAACAGCAGCATTGCATTTTAAATTAATAATTCTTTCGTATGTGCGAAAAACAGGATATATAAATACAAACTTCCTGATTATTATTTTTATGATGAAGCTACAACTGCTATGGCATATAACATTTTTGTAGCTGAAATACTTAATAATTTGACCTTTCCATAACTAGTAATGGAGTATGTTTCTATTCGGATTTTTTTTCAAATTACTGTGCCTGTAGTTAATCACATCTAGGTTGACAGAACAACACAAGGTAAAGATTATCAACTGCAGCTTAATTCTCTAGCTAGCATGTATGTGTTTCATATGGTTCTTATAGGAAGGTAGCCTATTGAAACAGGTGATATAGAACCTTGTAGAAACTGGCTTCTGATGGTTTAGAATTGTATGTAGACTACTGATTGATTATGTCATACTGCACTAAGGTTGAAGTTTGACTATAAAAGTGGAGTATTTACATGATTCTGTCTTTTGCTCTTGCACTCTTGGTTCTGCAGCTCTCTTGTTTTTAGTATATTTTGTTAGCTCTAGTTCCTGCTCTCGATCCTAACAGTAGTTATAATTATAATTCAGTAAGTAAGTTATTTCAACATACACACAGCATTGTGAATAAAAATTGCATTACTTTGTTCACTTGTGTTTGCTTGTTTTCATCTACTATCCAAGTTTGATATATTCTTTACATGAGCATGTGGTTTCCAAGTATATTAGACTTATCTGTTTGACATCAGTGTACCTGAATACCACAGCATTAACACTTTCAAAAATAGAAAAGTGTCAGAGAGATCAAATTTACTATATACAGACTAATACTGTCTTAACCACCAGAATCTTGTTAAGATCAGCTAAATGCTTCACACACTGTCTCAATATCTAGCATCTTCTTAAGGTCAGCTAAATATTTTGCTGCCTCAACAATCAACACATTGTTAAGATCAGCTAAATGCTTCATACTGTCTCAATATCTAGCATCTTCTTAAGGTCAGCTAAATATTTTGCTGCCTCAACAATGAACACATTGTTAAAATCAGCTAAATGCTTCACACTGTCTCAATATCTAGCATCTTCTTAAGGTCAGCTAAATATTTTACTGCCTCAACAATGAACACATTGTTAGGATCAGCTAAATGCTTCACACTGTCTCAACAACCATAATCTTGTTAAGATTAATTAAATGCTTCATTCTGTCTCAACAACCTTGTTAAGGTAACCTAAATTATTCACACTGTCTCACAACCAGTACCTTGTTAAGATCAGCTAAATGTTTCACTCTGTCTTAATACCAGCACATTGTTAAGGTCAACTAACTGCTTCATACTGTATTAACAACCACTACCTTGTTTTAAATGCTTCACACTCTCAACAACCATAATATTTTTAAGACCAATTAAATGCCTCACATTGTTTCAACAACTGACACCTTATTAAGATCAGATAAATGCTTCACACTGTCTCAACAATCAGAACCTTGTTAAGGTCAGCAAAATGCTTCACACATTGTCTTAACATCCAACACTTTGTTAAGATCAACTATATGCTTTACTCTGTCTCAACAACCAGCACCTCATTAAAATCAGCTAAATGCTTCATACTGACTCACAACCAGTGCTTTGTCAAGGTTAGCTAAATGCTTCACACTGATTCAACGACCAGAACCTTGTTAAGATCAACTAAATGCTTCATTCTGTCTCAACAATCAAGACCTTGTTAAGGTAACCCTGTCAGGGTTTTATATGTAAATAGGGCTGGGATTCTTGTACAGTAGGTGTCTGTGACTTGTTAGCAATAAATTTGGACAATAAATAGACAGCACACACCGTATTTGTCTTAAAATAATATATATTCAAAACAAGTCAAACATATGTACAAAAATTCTTTACACTATAGGATATCACAGTTTTATCTAAAATTCTAATTAATTATTTTTCCTTGTCAAAAGTCCACACAGGCTGATTCAATTACTTTAGAACCCAACTGACAAGACGACTTATTTTTCTCTACTCTTATCACAATAATATCAGTGAATAATTCACTTACATTACCCTGTGGGTTACCACAGTTGTATCCTGGACTTTAAATAATTGTCTCCTTTTTGTCAAAGTCCACATGGGTG